TTGGCATGTGGCAACATGGAGAACCAACAGAATTATCATCTTGCTTGAAAGGGTTTTGTTTTATGCACAATAATGATCATTATTTGTGGGAAACAAAACATTTTAATGGCTCAAGGACCCGAAGCTGAGTCATCATGTTGTCCAATAATTTAATGGATATGGTAGCTGTCATGTCACCGTCTAAAGCTGAATCAGCCGGACTAACACATCAACACCTATCCGTGTTAACGGGAACTGCTCAAGGAGGTCTTTCGGAGCTTACAAACCAATGGTAAATTAGATGTGTCTCAATCGTTAATTTTAATTCACCTTCTTAAACCAGTAAATAATATGCTCATTCTCATAATTCAACTGTTATTTACACTTTAAAATAAGTGCGTGACAACTTTTTTTTAAGATAGAACTACATCACACTTTGTTGTTTGGGATGTTGAACTTCTACTTTCTCTAATTTGGCTTTAGATTCATAGCTTAAACAAAATACGCAAAATGTAAAAGGAATTTACCAAGAACTTACCAATTTCTCGTTGCTGTTATAGGTAATGCAAAAGACATATATATTCAGTTTAAACTTCCACTTTGATTTAGGTGATATATATGTACTTGCATGAGGAATTGAGTTTTAAAATTCTCATGACATGCATTAATGAGTAATGAAAATTCTCTCCTCTAAACATGCTTTGACGAGAAATAAAAACTCTCTCCTAAAAACAAGCTTTCACGAGAATTGAGTCTTTACCACGTGGTTTACTGCTACATGACGTTTATTATAGCCCTACTTGGTTAAACGACCAAAACGCCTTTTGCATTGTGAAACAAAATAACAAAACTCAAACATTATTTGTCACTTAGTATTACAGTCTGGTGATATTCCTCTTCATTTGTAAGTAAAAAAAATCTTAGGTTCTATTCTCGTTAAAGACGAATTTGAACCACATTATTGTTAGTTCATTATGAGGTTTAGCCCCTTCCCGACCCCTTAGACCATCTCCAACCATTGGGGCTAAAAGCTAAATTTTGTAGTCTAGAAAATTTAGATTTTAGCCCAGAAACAACTTTTCTACTTCAATCCTTCTGGCCTAAAATTTTAACCCAAGATTATTAAAGAATGAACTTAGGATAATTTTTTTCTTAAATTAACTTTTTTTAAAAAAAAATTTATGTAGACTATCGTAAATTAATTTTATGAACATTTTAATCTAAAAATATTTAAATTCCAATAACTATTGAAAAATCATTAAATCAATACATGAAACTCATGAAATAGTATGGAAGCATATGAAAATCATGATAGAGATGTATATAAACACAAAATACATAAAACACATAAGACACACACAACACATGTGAAGCATATACAAAACAAATGACAGAGACGAAGCACACACAGAACACATGACACACACGAAACACATACCTAATTACATACAAAACACATGAAACGCATGAAGCACAAACCTACACACATGAAATTGAAACCTTCCATCATCCTCTATATAAACACAGGTTGAATATCAAACCATCACACAACATATTCACCAATCTTTCAACTTTCAAAGTGTTTTTGTTTCCTAAAAATCCTTAATATCTCATCAATGGGGATGCAGAAATGATCAACGCGGATGCAGAAATGATCAATGCGGATGCAGAAATGATCAACGCAGAAGCCAAATTTGCAAACTCGCTTATGCAACATAAGCACCATGCCGAATTTAGCTATTGTGGTTCTATCACGGGGCGTTCATTTGTGCAGCGTGACAGAAAAGAGTGTCTTAACCGAATGATGAAAGATTATTTCATCAAGTGTCCGAGATATCCTGCTCAAGATTTTCGAAGCCGGTTTCGGATGAGAAGAGAGCTTTTTGAAAGCATCTTGAATGCAGTTGTCAATCATGACCACTACTTTGCAAGGAAGATAGATGTCGTAGGCCGACAAAGTCTATCACCTCATCAGAAGCTCACATCTACATTTCGGATGCTAGCTAATGGGTGCTCTACAAACTCAATTGATGAGTATTACCGACTTGCGGAGACTATTGCTATTGAGATCTTGAAGCGCTTCTATAAGGCAATTGAAGCCATATATAGAGCCACATACCTCCACAAGCCAAATTGTGAAGATTTGAAGAAGCTTCTACGCAAGGCAAATAAAAGAGGCTTCCCTAGCATGATAAGAAGTCTTGATTGTATGCATTGGGAGTGGAAGAATTGTCCTATTGCTTAGGCTGGCCAATTCAAGGGCTGTCATAACAAGCCAACCATCGTGCTCGAGGCTATGGCGTCTTACGACACATGGATTTGGCATGCATTCTTCAGCGCTCCTGGATCAAACATCAATATCAACGTTCTTTGGTCTTCTCCTCTGTTCAATGATGTTGTCAATGGATGGGCACCAGAATATCGATACAAGGTAAATGGTAATAGGTATGAGCTAGGTTACTACCTAACAGATGGTATTTATCTTAGTTGGTCTACCTTTGTTAAAAGTAATTATTTTCGCAGAGGCAAGAGTCTTACAGGAAAGATGTGGAGAGAGCGTTCGGGATCCTACAAGCTCGATGGACCATTGTAAGAGGGGTTGCACGATTGTGGCATACCGAAGACCCCTATTCAATCATGATGATGTGCATAATTTTGCACAACATAATTGTGGAAGATGAGTACATCGAAATTGAAGAAGATTCAAACGAAGATGTGGATGATGACCAACTAATACATGAGAGAGCTATGGCAAGAGATGTCGAGCATCTCGCTGCAACCACATATGAGACCCGACATGATAGGGTCGCATTAAGTGAGTATATGAGACGTTTAAATAGAATTCAAGCTCCTCAAGGTCATGACACACTCCGCAAGGATTTGGTTAAGCATATATGGCGCCTAGAAGGTGAATGTTGATGATGTTGGAGTATTAATGTGTTCTTGTGTTAATTTTAATTGTGGTATGTTATTTTTTTATGTAAAAATTTTAAGTGTACCATGTTGGTATTTTCTAGTAATAAATTGAAGTGTTTTCTTGTGCAAAGTCTTTTGTCTGGTACGTTGTCAAAATTATTGAATGCCGTTTGAATTATTGAAGGCATCTATTGTACATCAAAGTGTGCATTAATAAGTACAATAATTATTGAAGGTATCTAGATTAATAGAAACAATAATTAATAAGCTATACATTTAATACACACAACAATTAATAAAGTGCATAAACTTAATACAAACGACAATTCATAAACCACTCAAACCACATAAACTTAATACAATCGATAATTCATAAACTACATAAACTTAATAATGATATCCACCATCTTGACTTGGTGGTGGACTTGGGATATAGCCTTGAGGTGATTCATCATCTTGAAATATGCTCCTTGTGGCATACTTTCGCCCTTTTACTTACCACGTAGGAATTTCTTCTTCTCTGGAGTGTATTTATTGAGATCATTCATCATGAAATTAATTTCGAAGCTCTCTTGCTTCCTATCCCCTTCTTCCTTCATGGCCAAACGCATGGGCCGCTTCTTCTTGCCGAGAGCTATGGCTTTTGGATAATTTTGCAAATCCGGTAGCAATGTGTCCACTCATCGGCTCTTGGGACTTCCCTTTTTCTCTTTGCTTCCTTTTGCTTATCTCTTCCCGGGGGCCTTGCAATAGAAGAAGTTGGGGTCATTTCATTGACACCTTCATCTCCATCATTTGTTGATGTAGCTTCATGTTGAAATAATCTTCCCCATTGTTGCTCCGCATTGGTTGCCTACCTCGGACAATCCTTGAGGACGTCCCAAGCATGATGCAACTTAAAAGGTTGATTTTTTGGTGTTACTCTTGTCTTGTAAAATGCCATTGCTTTGTCACCCTATGCAAAAAATACATAAAAACAATTAGTTGCAAAATAATATTATGTACATGACAAATAAAATATCAACAAAAAAACTCACAATTTATGCGGCGCTTCTTCCACTAGCCATGTCAGTCACAACTCTCTCCAAACTTCCCTTCCATAAAGTGCATGCTTTGTTGATAGTCTTCCACCGATCGTAAACACCACCACCTTCCCCTCCTGCCACCGTTGCAGTTTTCATGGAACTTTTCAACGATTTTATTCCACAAAACCTTTTTATTTGGATTCGTGCCAATTGCACCATCTTCGCTAATAGAAACCTATGCCAAGCATAACACAACATCTTCCTCACAGATCCAATTACGACCTCTAATATGCTGTCTTGCCATCTTGAAAAATTTGGAAATGGGAAGAAATGGTAGAAAGAAAAATTGGAAGAATTATAGGAGAAAAGTGAGTTTTGTGTGAATGCTTGAAAAGTGAGTTTTGTGTAAATAATTTTTTTTTTAATTATTTAAGTCGTTGGATTTAAATTTGGACCGTTAGATTTGATTATATTCGATCTCAGCTGTTGGATTCAACAAATATATATATATATATATATATATATATATATAAAAGAAGTTTGAATCTAGGCCGTTGGATCAACCAACGGCCTGTTGATTCCATCTGTCAGATCAATAGAGTCGTTGGAGCGCCTGGGGAACGTGGCCGACAAGCCCACGTGAGTGGAGCCCAGTCAGGCTGATAGCTCGTGCGTCGCTCGCGTCTAGCGAGTTGGTGGGGGGTGTGTGGCGCACAAATGCTCGGTTTCAGGCGCACCGATAAGGCCCGTCGATTCATGGGCTAATTTTTGGACGGAATTTGGCTTGCGTTTGGCTTTTAGCCCAAACATTTAGGTTGGGTTGGGTTGAGTTTAGGGGGAGGAGAATAAATGAAAAATTTTGGCTTTTAGCTTGAGTTTGGTCTTAGCGTAGATAATATCATTTACTAGAAAGAAAAAAAAAACTCAAATATTATTAAATTTAAAACAGTAGAATTAGAACAAACACCCACGAGACTCGCTTCAAACTCTGTTGTCCTCTTCTTTAGCAGAAAAGAGAAAACTCTCTTTGTCCACTTGTTTTCATGCATGTATGCATATATATATATAATCAAACACACCACATCAACGTGCACTTTGTCAGAAAAACTCATCAGCTCTCTGATGAACCAAGTTAACGAATTTGAATGAACTAAACCCATTTCATTTTCTAGAAAAATATATCAAAAATTCAAGTTTAGATCGCAATCCGTGCATGGCAGACCCTAGACCTTTTCTTCCATCGGATCCCGATGCCCTGCCGTACACCTACACTCCTCTCCCGAATCCGGACGAAGCTTCCGAAATCCGAAAGAGGCAGTTTAAGGAGCTCCTAGCAGTCTTTTCTGGGTTGCTGATGCTTTCTTTGTTGGTGGTCATTATTAGTAGTGACAACAATTCTGATTCCCATGCAAATAAAAATGAGCCAGTGTTTTTGGCTAAAGAGCCTTATACAACAAGGCCCGCCAAACTGCGCCCGGTTTCTCGGGGCATAGCAGCCGGAGTGTCTGAGAAGTCGAATCGGTTGGCCGATGCTGTGGACGGGCCGGCATTTCCATGGAACAATAGCATGCTGTCATGGCAGAGAACTGCTTTCCATTTCCAGCCTGAGAAGAACTGGATGAATGGTACATATATTTTTTTTCTTTCTAATTCTCTCTTTTTTTTCGTTTTTTTTTTAATTTTTTTAATTATTTTTTTCTTTCTTTTGGTTGCAAATTGGATGATTTTGAGTGGACAAAATGATTGGCTGATTTTTTTCTTTCTTTTACTTTTAACTTTTGGTCCATAAATGAGAATTATGAGATGGATTAATCAAAACACGTTGTTTTCATAAAGATGAACATTCACATTTGTCAATTGTTTCTCTATTCATTTGTGTTGCAAAAAGTGAAGTTTACTTTTATTTTTGGCGCCTTTATTTATTATATTTTGGAGTAAGGACTTAGATTAACTGAGTATTCAGTTGCGATAGCGTTTGAGTACAATAACACAATGCCATGTAGAGATAAATTATCATGTCATATTGTTTTATTAGAATGTGACACCACTGTAATAATGTACTTGATATGTTTAATTTAACATAATTTTTTTTGCAGTGCACACTTCCTTTACATAGTTTAGGTTAATTTAATATAATTATTACATTGTTTGTAAAAATAAAACATGATTTTTGCAGTTGAAATAAGAATATTTTACATTAACATAGTCATAATTTTATCCTTTGGAACAATTCACATATTATTGATTAGTAATTTTTTTTCTTATACGACAATATTGACCGTGGGTCATAGGATAAGTGATACAATGATCTACTAATAATTTGAAATCAAACTTGTTATTCATGAAAGTCAAATTTAGGACCTCTATTTAAAATTTATAAAGAAAACTTGATAGAAGTTTTCCCTTGCAAATGATTTTTGCTAGGATAGTTGTTGCGTGGGACTTAGTGTTTTTCTTCACCTTATTTTCAAATTAAATTATATTTAGTATTTTATTGACTTCTACCTTCTTTTCATGGTTGGCCCTGACTGGTGATTTCTCTTCCGGCTGCTTCAGATCCAAATGGTAAGCAACCTTTAATTTTCTGTTTATTAAATCATTACCTGTTCATCTTGTATTCTTCTGCACGCTATCTGGAATAGAATAATACGTAGTTGACTAGTTTAATCCACTTTGGATCTCATCAGGGCAGTTGATTAGAAAAGTAAGCATTGTTTTTCATCGAAATACGAAAATACAACCCAACTTTGTATGAAATATTTGACATGATCTTGCGGCTCCCTCTCCAACTTTTACAGTCAAACTTTGCCAACCCTACGCCACCTTTTAACTTTCCATGAATTTCACATGGAAAAAAAGGAAAAATTTCAATCATTGACCATTTCAATCATAAAAGTTCTGGAGATCAAGATTAATGGGATAATTGAAGCAAATTATTCTTCTACAGTAGATTATAGTTGGAAAATTTTGTACGTCAGCCTACAGTTTGTTTATCTGAAGTCTTTAACCCATTTTTCCATTCTTTAGACCATCTCCAACCCTAATCTAAAATCTAAAATTTTTAGCCCAGAAAATTTAGATTTTAGCCCAGAAACAGCTTTTATGCTCCAACTCTTCTAGCCTAAAATTTTAGTCCTAGATTATTAAAGAATGAATTTAGGCTAATTTTTTTTTTCTTAAATTAACTTCTTCCTTTTTATTTTTTTTATTTTTATAAATATGTAGACTATCGTAAATTAATTTTATGAATATTTTAATTTAAAAATGTTTAAATTCCGATAAATATTGAAAAACCACTAAATCGACACATGAAACTCATGAAACATTATGGAAGAATATGAAGATCATGATAGAGAGGTATAAACACAAAATACATGAAACACACAAGACACACATAATACATATGAAGCACATCCAAAACACATGTGAATGACATACAAAACACATGATAGAGATAAAGCACACACAGAACACATGTGAAACACATACCAAATACATACAAAACACATGACACACATGAAACACATACCAAACACATGTGAAACACATGACACACATGAAACACATACCGTTGGATTTAAATTTGAGCCGTTAGATATTTTTTTTTTACTGTTAGATTTGATTATATTCGATCTAAACTGTTTGATTCAATTAAATCTGGCCGTTGGATCACAAAAGTAGCCGTTATGCTACCGATCGGCCTAACAAGCGGGGGAACACGTCCACGTGGGTGGGGTCCCGTTAGGATTCAACCTGGCGCGTGCGGCACGTTAGGCAAGTGAGCGCTTGGCATGTGGCCTTCACATCCTACTTTTCACTCTCATTAGTGGGCTCCACATCGATTTTTGGCTAAAAAGGGGCCAATATTTGGCCCCCTTTTGAGTTTTAGGTTTTAATTTGGGTTGGATTTTTTGGGGGAAGGGGGGGGTGTTTTTGGAGAAGGTCTTAGTTTTAACCACTCGAAGATGCTTGGTTCAAAGCATAGCTCGATTTCTTTCTAAGTGGTTATATTCCTAATTAATAACGAATAAAATTGAGGCTAAAAGTTCTAAATGTGTCAATAAAAACATGCCGATTTGACGAATTTCCCGTTATAGATTTTTGCAGCATCTAATTTTGTGACATGTAAATTAAACAGGTCCATTATTCTACAAAGGTTGGTACCACTTTTTCTACCAGTGGAATCCCAACGGTGCAGTATGGGGAGACATTGTATGGGGCCATGCAGTGTCCAAGGACTTGATCCATTGGCTTCACCTCCCTCTAGCCATGGTGGCTGACCAGTGGTACGACATCAATGGAGTCTGGACCGGCTCAGCCACCATTCTCCCTGATGGAAAAATTGTCATGCTTTACACTGGCTCAACCAATGAGTCGGTCCAAGTCCAAAACCTTGCATATCCTGCTGACCACAATGACCCTCTCCTCACCAAATGGGTCAAGTACTCCGGCAACCCGATTCTAGTCCCACCCCCGGGCATCGGATACAAGGACTTCCGTGACCCGACAACTGCTTGGTACACGTCCCAAGGCAAATGGCGCATTACTATTGGGTCCAAGCTTAACAAAACAGGCATATCCTTGGTTTATGATACCAAGGACTTCAAAACCTATGAGCAATTGAATGGGGTGCTTCATGCTGTCCCTGGGACTGGAATGTGGGAGTGTGTGGATTTTTATCCGGTGTCGAAAACCAGTGACAAAGGACTGGATACTTCGGTGAATGGGCCTGATGTGAAGCATGTGGTGAAGGCTAGTCTTGATGATGATAGGAATGATTACTATTCATTGGGGTCCTATGAGGAAAAGACTGGCAAATGGGTTCCTGATAACCAAAAGATTGATGTTGGTATTGGAATTAGGTATGATTATGGCATTTTCTATGCCTCCAAGACTTTCTATGACCAAAACAAGGAGAGGAGAGTTTTGTGGGGTTGGATTGGAGAGTCTGATAGTGAAAATGCTGATATGCAGAAGGGATGGGCCTCCGTTCAGGTAAATTGGTTTCTTTTCTCTCCTCGATATTTACAGGAATTCACAGTATCTGGTACATTATTTAAATTATGTCGGTAATATGGATATCGATCAAGTATTAAAGTGTGTCAACAGAATAATGTACTACAGTATTTTAGTACATGGTACCAAACATTCCTTTCTTTTGGCGCATGTATCTTTAGCTGGAGCTATAACGTTTGTGCGATAATTTAATGTAGGGAATTCCAAGGACAGTGGTGTTTGATAAGAAGACTGGAAGCAATCTACTTCAATGGCCAGTGGAGGAGGTCGAGAAATTGAGATTGAGCATTACGGACTTCGACAAGGTTGAGGTCAAGGCAGGCTCAGTGCTGCCACTTCAAGTTGTCACAGCCACACAGGTTTGTGTTCCGTTCTTAATTAGATTTATGTTGATTAATATGGTAAAATTCCGAGAACGTTTGTTTAGTTTTAAAAGAAATGATTGGCAATGTAACAGTTGGACATTGTTGCTGAGTTCGAGTTGGACAAGAAGGTTTTGGAGAGCGTAGCTGAATCTAATGAGGTGTTCAGTTGCAACACCAGCGCTGGAGGTTCCCATCGTGGTGCTTTAGGACCCTTTGGTCTTCTTGTTCTTGCAGATGAGACCCTCTCAGAGCAGACTCCTGTCTACTTTTATGTAGCCAAAGGGCCGGGTGGCAATTTTGATACTTTCTTCTGCGCCGATCAAACAAGGTAGATTTTTCATCACAAATGTTCTCTTCGTAGATTGTGAGTCTGGACAATTGATCAGGTTAATTATATGTTAAATGGACTGTCGAGATTCACAACCTGTCAACATAAGCTTCTGTCTAACAACATATATAAGTTTTTCGTTAACTTGTTATATACTACTTAGAACTAAAGATAACTTTTTCTGTTATATAGGTCTTCTGTGGCTAATGATGTTAAGAAAAAAGTTACTGGCAGCTATGTTCCAGTTCTAAAAGATGAAAAATTATCAGTGAGGATTCTGGTTGACCATTCGATCGTCGAAAGCTTTGCTCAAGGTGGAAGAACAACCATCACAACTAGGGTTTACCCAACCAAGGCAATTTATGGGGCTGCTAGGCTATTTTTGTTCAACAATGCTACCGAGACCAGTGTTACTGCCTCCCTCAAAGTATGGCAGATGAACTCTGCATTTATCCGTCCGTACCATCCGGACGAAACGAGCAACGCAAGCTTAAACCTTGTTACCTACATCAAATTCATTGTCACATTCTTTATTTTTTTTACTTTATCTTTTCTTAGATAGGGAAGGTAATTGATTTATTGGAAATAATATATCTGAGACATGCATTTTTATTTAGTGGCGAATTTTAATATCAGTTTCTACAATTGAACATTGACACAAGTCTACTTCTAGTCTAGCTTAGAGTAATAATATTGCTTGTAATAATAAAAAAAATACATACGAAATTCTTAACTAAAAAGAATGTACGTACCGTACAAGAATAACTAAATTGTAGAACAATCAAATGATCTTGAGCAAGTAAATGACTCTCTAACTTGTTCTCATGAAGAGAAGGTCCAAAAGCTATTTTTTTGTTTTTTTTTTTAAACAAACGATATTATCTACACTAATAGGAGAGGGGATTGGCTAACCCTCAAAATGGGTTAGCAATAATACGGTTTAAATTCACTTTTGACGAGAATCGAATCTAAGACCTCTCACTTACAAGTAAAGAGGAATACTACTAAACTGTAGTACTAAGTGGCAGATATAAAAACTATTGAACAAGTAATAACAATTTAAATAGAATATAAAAGAGGAACCCCTTGATTAATATAGCATGTTCAACACCAATCAAGAAGGATGCATGTAGAACCACCATCGAGGAAGGAATTGGAGTGGAGCACAAGGAGCACGCCACTACCCTAAAAACACCCAATATGGCCGTGCCTAAGGATAAAATTGGCGAGATGGTGGCTGCCCTAGTGGCATTGCCACAACATCCTAGTAAGTCTCGAATCCCAATTCTAATTTCCATTTCAACTAATAGGTTGTTACCTTCTTTGGTGCAGGTTCCAAATTGATTTCAAGGTGGTGGGAGCATTTACATGGACTATAGTAACCAAAACACCACAATCAGGGAGGATCACTAACCCCTCCCATTCATTGAGCCATACTATGAGAACTTTGAAGAGCATGTGGTGGATGGTGCAAGCTTCCATTCCATGGGCCCAAATGAAGCTTAAGAGGAAAGATCGTCCAGCTGGAAGCGCTTCTTGGGAGACAACCCATGCATGCAAATAAATAAGACCTAGAAATCTCCAACACTTCATAACCAGATTTGCGTTCCTAAACCCTACTCTTTATTGCTTTTACTTTGCCATGTTTGCTAGTTGTGTTATTTGGTTGTTTGTTTGTGAGTCTATGCTTAGAACATTGAGGACAATGTTTGCTTTAAGTGTGTGTGTGTGTGTGGGGGGGGGGGGGGGGTAAACAAAGTGCTTTTCATGAAAATTCGTGGGATTTTATCACCTATCACTTCTAAAGTTGTTTTTCACTGTTTTTAAGTGTTTTTGATGTGTTTTGAAGTGTTTTTATGTATCTTAAACAGAAAATCCGAAAATTTGAAAAAAAAATCGAAAAAGAGTGTTTAAAAAAAAAAAACCCAAAAAGAGTTGTTTTTAGAGTCATTTTTGTTTTAATGTTTGTGTCTTAGGATACCTTCCAACACAATGATGAGGATTTGGTTTTTAATTGCATGACTATTAAAGAAAGTTACAAACATGGATGGAAGTTTGATATGCTCTTTGGTTTATGCTTAGTTGTAGTTGTCATTTACGAATTCACATGTAATCACAAAGAAAAAAAATCAGTTTTTGTAACATGCTTGAAGGAAGGAACTCAAACTAACACTACAACCCTGAGAGACTTGAGCCTAAACTTCAATTGGAGAGTTATTAATCTTGATGTTTTTGTTTTTTAAAGTCGTTGCATGATCTCATTATTCTTTGCTTGGTTGCTACTTAGAATGCGTTTCATCACTATAGTTCCAAATACTAGGACTCATGCCCATTTCATTCAAAGCATAAAATTGAGTGCATAACATAAAACAAGATGAAGTTGTTTAGTTAAAACCAAAGCCAAAAAGCCTTACCCTTTGCATATGTATTGTATGTTAACCCCTTTGAGCCTTTGTTAGCCTATTGTCTTTGTTAGCCCACATTTTCCTTACCTAGCCTAGAATAGGACTATCCATACCCTTGTTCTTAAAGTATAGTAAAGCATGACTTAGAGGGAATTCCTTTTGTTCTACAATTTGCAGAAAAACAAGTGTGGGGGAAGGATTTTCGTGGGAATCTAGGGGAACGTATGATTTGTGTGCCAAAGGAAGACTAGGGAACGAGAGAAAGAAAAGAAAAAAGAAAAAAAGAAAAAAAGAAAAAAAAACGTGAACAAGAAGAAGAAAAGAAAGAAAAGGAGTTGAAAATAAGTGAGAATGAACTCACAAGTGTTGATTGTTGAAGAAAGGGTCCAAAAGTTTGAATTTGACCCTAAGTTTTGTGTGAAGTTTCCCTTGGTGTTCAAAGTTGATTTCTGCATTCAAAAGTGAATTCTAAGTGTTTATTTCATTACTTTGCTTATTATTGCTTTAAGAACTTTTGTTTATCCTTACCTTTCTTTGTTAACCAATACCTTAGTCCTGTTACAACCCTTTGACTTCGATCTTGATTGTTATGTGTTTCAATATGTGGAGTTTAAAATTGGTTTGAGCATATGGTATCCCTCGTTCTCGTGTCTAAGTAGTAACATTCCATTCATGAGATCATATACATGTTAATAATTCCAGAAATTGCCTTCTTTGATTATAACTTATGTGAGTGCTAGTCTACATGTTTACATCAATCTTCTCACATATACTTAGTGTAGGGAGTGTAGTCAGAAAATCTGTGAGAAAATAGAGAGTATATCCGGTGAGGAATTGAGGAATTCTCTAAGGCATGTTACTAAATTCAAAATGTTGTTTTAATTGATTAAATGCGAGCTAGTGAGTGGTGACTATGATTAAGTATATGCTAAAGGGTAGGGATAGCTAAAATCTATGGGAGTAGTAATCTTTAATATGTCATGTTGCATTGGAAATCCTTGAGGCAATTGTTGGAAGGTTTAGATTGTGTCTTGTTTGTTTTGTTTATTTCGTTTTGCTCGAGGACTAGCAAAAGCTAAGTGTGGGGGAATTTGATAGGAGCATATTTATGCTACTTAGGTATGTTGTTTCCTTGCATTTAGTTAGTTAACTACTACTTATTATAGTCTTTTAAGCTATTTTCGTATGTTTTTAGGTCCTAATGGAAAAAGGAGCAAGAAAGTGCATTTTGGAGCTATTTGGAGCAGTTTTGGGCATGGATTGGATAGCTTAACTATGGAGCAAAGTGGATGGACGAAATTGAAGTCAAGAGAGGCTAGGAAATGCTACAAATCTGGAGAAAGAAGTTCAAATACAAAGAGGATAAGGAAAGAGCAAGAAATAAGGAACATTATCCAACCTTATCCTATCCAACCTTATCCTATCCAACCTTATCATATCCAATCTTATCTTATCCAACCTTATCTTATCTTATCCTATCCTAATCTTTTGCTACCTTAATTCCAGCTGCAAAGAGGACTTAATTTCACATTAGAACACCTAAATATATGGTTCTAGAAGACCCTATCTCCTCCTAAATAGGTGTCGCACCCTTTATCCTTTCTAGAAGTCCAATTTCTGCCACAAAACACATTGTTTCTAGAAACCCTACACGAGTGGCACCTCCCCCTCTTCTAGAAGCTCTAGAATTTGCAATCCTTTTCCCTTTCTTCCTTGGTTTTTGCCATGGAATCCTAATCCTTTTCCCCTAGGATTGTGCAAACCTTTTCCCCCCTAATTTCTACCACACCCTAATCTGATTTCCCTAGGGTTTAAGCCCTATAAATACAACCCTATGCCACACCATTCAAATCATCCATTCACTCATTCATTCATTCATACTTTTAGCCATTAAACACCACAATTCACCCTACACCACCCTAGTGCTGCAAAGAAGGAAGGATAAGAAGACTTGTGCAATCTGCCATCCAAGGAGGGTTCGAAATTTTCCATTGAAGTGTGGATTGTTTCTAGGTGTATTCTATCCTTAGTTTTAGTTCAATGTTTATGTTAATTTGGTTTTCAATTATGATGAACATGTGGAACTAATTTCTTTTTAGTTAGAGGTGAATTCGAAACCATGATTATATGTTTTATATGAATTGATTACGTCCAGTTATTGTTTCTTAAGGCATGAATGTGATTTGCTTATCTAAGTTATTAAAACTTGTTTATGTATGTGGGTTGGGGGTCGACACTTAATTTGCATGCATGAATTTGATACTAGAGTATAAGGGGGTTTCACGTAATAGTTATTCACTTATATTCACAAGTAGTGGAGGTTGCTAGTCACAATCGCGTTAAGTAAATCCTTGGTATGAGTCTCATGCGTTTCATGGTGATGAATGCTTTGTCAATGCTTATGATTACTTTTGACATGTATCTCTAGCATGCGTTTCATATAAGGAACTTGAGAAAGATAATTTGGTTTGGATGCGTATTCCATCTAATTCAATGAAATAAGGAAAATCTGATGGTTAGTTGTGCGATGCAACTAACTTAGGGCATTGTCATTCATAGTTTAAAGGAATAATAACTAGGAAATTGGTTCATATGCATATATCATGTGTGGAAAAGGACCCTCTAACTAGCCTTTCACCCATGTAATTCACTTAAATTTGTTTTTCCAAAGTGTTTTCTACAAAGTTTTTGTTTTAAGTTTTAAATTCGTCAAAAACAATCCCCCTTTCATTTAGTTTTGTTATTTGAGTCAAAATCTGTTTTCATTTAGTCTTTTGAGTCAAGTCCTATTTTCGTCCAAATCACTTGTTAGGTCTAGAATTGAGTCTTGTTGATTGTTGGTTGCTGTTTTAAGTGTCTTAAGTTAATTTTGAGTCTATACAGTCTAGTTTAGTGTTTTTGAGTCTTATTTGTATTGATTAGCATCCCTAGTTAATTTCCGATCTAGAACGATCCCTACTTACATATCTACTATAATTGTCACAAATAGGGTTTAATTTGTGTGCCAAGTTAATTTTCACATCACATCACACTCCTCTCGACTTCACAAACTTAACCTTACCCTTAGTTTATTGAACAAATGTTGGAATTGTGAGGAACCAGAGTTCCGGTGAGGAGTTGATTTCCTCTGACGCGATCGTGGGTGTTTCACAGGGTTTTAAGGTTTAAGGAAGCCTTTAATCAACTCCATAGAGACCCTAGAGTACGTTTA